AAGGGTGTTGTTTCTCGTTTACGTGTGCAGGTTTGCGGCCAGACCACCATAAAAATGATAGTACTAGGGTTGTACTCTTGGGTGTCATTGAATTACTGTTCACCATGTGGAAGATAGTTTTAAACAGAGAAGTATCATGACGGGAAGCACGAGGCCCTAAATGTATCAATCAAATCACATTACACACATGGCCCAGCTCGTTTACAAATGTTCTTTCCAAATGGACACGTCGATGTGTATATACACGTGCACGCCAGTTTCCAAGAAACCAGACGTACACAAACCAAACCCCAATGCTCCGTGCGTGTATACAAAAACATGGAGATGGTGTTAGATAATGCGCTGAGGGCTCCGTCGGGTTTGTGTATTTTGGTTTTCCCTCGGCGGCCACTTTCTGGTCATTTCAGAGGCCCCAAACAAACGCTGCGGAGCTTAGGATTTAGGAATCGGGATTTGACCAGACCCCCTACATATCCTGATATGACCAATTGAGAAGCCCAAGTGTGACCGGCCCAGATCACAGAGTGGCTACAGGCCCGTTTACAGAGATCGGGAAAAATCTATCAGGCTGAACGCGCCTAAACCTACGAGCTTCGATCCTTCCAGAATACGCATCCCTATACATAGCCATATTTCCTGATTTGATCACCCCAGTTACTATACTCCACAACCCTAAGCCCTACAACAACAAAATTTGGCAAACCCTCTACTACCCCATCCCACGAGAAGGCACTTGCCGTGCACGCTCAGCTCCATCTCGCAGGTCTTGGGGCCATGGCGCGCATGTGGGTTGAGCCTCAGGATTAGGAGTTCTCGAATTAACCTCTTGCCACCCCATGCTAAAGACACCAGCAGGATTGTTTTTTTTTGGATGTGCAGCGCTAGTGTTGCACCCTCTGGGATGAGTGTGTCTCAAAGCAAACTCTACGTAATCCTCGCTTGGAACCCTCAGAATCCGTGCATATCTGTAGCGTCCACGCAAGTTCATGCAGATGGAAAACATATTCAACTACTTCAGGGTGCAGTGATTTTTTTCGTGTCAGGATTGGGGTGGAGTCGGTGTTGCTGTTCTGGGGGTCTGGGGTTTCGGGTGCAGGGAGTTCAGGGTGTAATTAAGGTGTTGGTTGAGGGTTCAGGGCTCAGGGCTCAGGGTGCAAGGTAACTCAGGGTCTGTGTTGGGGCGTAGGTTCCGGGTCAGATTTGGAAAAATGCAGGTGAAGGTTCATGAACCTATGTGATCCGGAAAATTAGACAACTTCCCCATGCAGTTTCGTGATGCAAGTGTAAGAGTGCTCGTCTATTGTAGCCAGCATCGCCGGAGATGTCATCACTGAAGCTGGTAGATGTTTTCGAGACTGGGCATCCTCAGGAAAACCGTGCCCAGCGCCCAGAGAATGCAAGATGTGTAAGAGGCTCAGAAAAAGCTGATCCAAGTTGTCGTCACAGTCACACCCAGCGCTGCTTGCTCGTGCAATCCCGCAGCATGGACGGTCACACAATCAGTTCGTAGCCTTTGAATACCAGCCAGGTAGCATTCCAACATCTTTTCATCATCGTTGGACTCTGGGGACATCATGGCCAAGCGCGGTGGGCACCTCCCTCTCCAGTGGGATTTTTCTTGATCCCGTGACATCCCAACATGTCCCCACGGCATGCATGGTCCAAGGGAGCCCCTACTCTCAGAACCTTCCATGTGGCTACCGATGCGTCAGCCCAAAGAATGTGCCGAGGGCCTTCTTGCTGCATACGGGGAATGGATCGGAATAGCAACGAACAGAACGATTTCACCTACCACGTCTCCAAAGTTGATATAGGTTGCACACAGCATTGCAGAAACCAGATACTCCAGCAGGTACTAGCTAGCTGTCCGATGGAATGGACCTTCCAGATCAACCATAATTTTCAGAAAGCATCAGCTCAGTCCCAAGCCATGAACCCTAGCTAAGAAGCATCTAGAAATGTGCAAGGTCCCAGGGGGAACGTGCGCGCAGCCTTTTATGGGCTTGGGTGCATAAACGTTTCGCCCAAGAACCGGTGGGTTTTGCAAGCGTCCATGCAGGACTAAGAGGATACTGAATAGTAAGACTTGACAGATCAAGGTTTGCATTGGAACCTGCCAACCCAACATAACCCAACACAAGTCTCATAATCCAGTAACTTCCTTAGCCTGTTGGGGCATGACAGTAGCGTACCTGATGAAAGGAGTACAGGTTGCCTTATGGTCTGCCGAACCCGGGAAAAGTCCCCACGTCCTACGAACCCTGTCATCCGCACTCGAAGTCGTAAAGCCATGAAACCCTAAACCCTGCAACCTCTCACTACAACAACCCAATGCCCCAAGACCATCAGAACACAAATTGGGTTCTGGACTTCAAGGAAATCAAGGGCATAGACCGGAGTATATAATGTTTCCGTGAGACACTTAAGCGATCATGTGCCTGAAAGAGGGCCAACAAAAGCACCTCCGAACTTAATTGGCAGCACCCCTACCATATAAGCCATAAGCCCCGACCCCAAACCCTAAAGCCTCAACTGCAAATGCATAGTCCCTTGGCTTGAGCTTTGTGCAAAGCTCACAAGTCTATGGTATGATGCATCCCCTAATTCTGTGAGCCCTGAAGCTGTAGGATCCATCCGGCGCCAAGGCGCAACGTAGGCAGCGCATCGCCATCTCCGCCGCTGCGTCCCGATGCAGCCTCTGCTTTGTTTCGGGGCTTCAAACTTCTTAGAGGCTTGAGGGTTTGGGAGTTAGAAGAATGTTTAGGGTTAAGGCTAAGGGATTGTCAGGACTTGAATGGCCTCTGACGCTTGGGAGTGTTGGGGGTGAGGGTGTAGGGCTTCAAGAACCGATGGCCTGGTGTAGCTTCACATTGTGAAGGCGTTCAATGGGCTTCGGGGTTCTTGTTTCTGTGGCCTTCCCGGAATCGTCGGTAGCATCAGCCTGTTGCAGGCTTGCCGGGCCTTTGATCCCGCTGCATACATGTCTCAGTGCATAGCCAATTGTTTTGGCTGTTGTATTAAGGCAGGTCGTCTGCAGGGACCGTTCATACTTGATAGAGGGAATTCGTATGGTTTTGTACCACTATGAAACTCGGTTCCAGGCGTTGCGCACGATTTCGGCGGGCTCTGAAACTCTAGGCTTTCGTGAGTTGCTTTACGTAGTATGTTTGAGGCAGAGGTGCAATGGTACCCTTTCTTGAGAGCCTCACATCGTCCTTATGTCGCTTTTGCCAATTCATGCCTTGTAAGTTCACAATCCTTGGAGGTTCATGGGACTTACGGACTATCTACATCTGAACTCTGATCCTACAAGGAACCCGTACAGCTTGTTCAAACACAATCTCCTCGACGCATGGCTATAACCCAGCTTGCGACTTTAATCCTATGAGCCGCTGAATATATGTATATATATAAATATATGTACATATCTTTTTTGGAATGTCCCTTATTTGTGAACCGGAAGCAGCTCTAGCTTGATGATTCAAGAGCACAGGGCTGTCTACATGCACACATGCACAGACGCACACACTGTAATTGCTAAAATGAACGCGAAGAACTCAAGCCCGACCAGTAGCGCCTCAGAAAAGAACCAACATGCAGCCTATGTTTTTTGCCAAGGGGGGTTCTCTTAGAGTCTTTGGGGCCCCTAATAAAGGGCAAAGGTTAAAGCCTCGATTTCAGGGTTCCGGGTTCCTCAAAATGGGGCTCCCCAAGCGCCAAGTAAGGAGCATGGGGAAGTTCTGGGAGACTTTTGAAGGAATTATGAGGGTGACTTCGAGAACCCGAACTTGCGCAGTACGGGGACAAAAAGCAGAATGACAATCATAAGATTGCAGCTAGACTTAGGATAGTTCAACAGAATCAAAGGGCATGGGCAAAGGGATAAGGCAGCAGTTCTAATCAGACTGATCATGGAGCTAACCACGAAAAAATGAGGCTAAGAACAGCCCCTAAACCTTACACTGCGAACCCCACATCGCAAAGCCTAGCAAACAGAAGGAACGAGACCCAACAGCCACCTGTTGCTTGTAGAAGTCCAATGGCTGCGGCTGAGAACTCACCTGCAGGTAGGAGCGCAGCCCAAGGTCTAGAGCTTGAGGTTTCGTCCAGGATTCAGACAGCCTTTCGCGCTTTCGGCTTTAGGTTTGGGATTTGGGAGGTCAAGTCAGGTAGCAGATTGCTTTAAGGTTTGTGAAGGGCTTGATGTCCTAGGGAGCTCAAAATCCTGTGAACCCCAAGCTTGGGGTTTTAAGAGTTTTAAGATTTCTTGCTGAGTTAAGATTGAAACATTAATGGATCAGACTTCTGAAGGTTGCGATCTAAGTTATAAGGCGGAGGGTTATCAAAGAGAGCTGTATTCTAGAAGTAGGGTACAGCTTCTGATTTAATTGGGTCCCCGATGCGGGTTATCGCCTTATCGCCACAAGTACCCACACGTCCAACAAGTGTCTAGATTACCCTTACAACTCCGCTGCAGCACCCACGATGAAGCGCCATAGACGCGTGTCTATCCTTTCATGAACTAGGGTGCGTAGATGGATCTGAACATAAGGCATATGAATGTGCGCATGTTTTGAAAAATGAGGCTAGTGGTCATGGGGAGGTGGCCTGCAGCTAGCCGGTATGCTCTTTACAAACAGACTCTGGCTCGAATCCCATGTTCCGCCCTCTCATAGCTCCTGTACAATTAGAAAGTCCTGCATGCCCTACGGCATGCATGGGCCCTCTATAGACAGTCCATGAAACGTCGGAGTAGCAAGTAAGTCCATACTCCCGAACAATCATTTTGACTAAGGTTCGTGCTCCGCTAGCACAAACTGGATAACCCAACGACTCCCATTCAACAACTACATATTTTGCTACAAAATGTCAGAAGCAAATGCTGTGTTTATCCTAGCCAACGTATATAGGTGCTGAAATAGCCCTGTACAAATCCACTCTTGATCTCGCATCGTCCTGAACATGACCCCAATGCTCTGAGACCCCACGACTGCGGGTGCCTGGTTGATGCGCTGAGGTTCGACCTTCTGCTTGGGGCCGTGCGTGCAGTTCACATACCTTGTCACTCTATGCGGGGCTGGTGCTTGATGGTTTAGCCTGTTGAGTCTTTTTAAAGTCTCGGGCTCAGGATTTCAGGGTTAGCTGACGAACTTAGGAACACGTTGCATTGCACCGGTAGTGCTCAGCAGGAGACCATTGATTTGATCCTGGAAAAATTGAACACCGTCTGTCCTTGAACCTCGCAGATCGAATGCAAGAGTATCCACGAGCCTCGAATCTTAAAGCCTACTCTCTAACCCTGCCTGCGTACTCTCCCCAAACTAAAGTGGACCCCCAAGAGGACTGCATCATATTTTGGGCCAGGTTGGGGTTCTATGTTGCTGTAGTGTGGGGGTGTGAGGCCCCAGCACCAGACCTATCCCAGAGCTTCCATCAACTATACGCACCACTCCCACTTCAGGCCATGAAGGACTTGGATCAGTTTCGGTCGATTCCGGGGCTTACCGTGATAAACCATGGAGCCCTCCTTTGTCTGAGCTGTTTCGGGTTCTGGTGCAGGGATTATACCGACAGCCGGGGGCCTAGTAGGGCTCACACAAGCTGCAGCTTAGTTGCGCCTGGCGCGTGTCCGCGCACTTGTCATACTCGTGGTAAGAGCCCGGTGCATATGGCGTCTCGTTCTCACGAGCCTGAATCTTAGGGGCTTGATGAACCAGTCTTGTGGGGGTGCTGAGCCTCAGATCTTCGACCCTAATCCTGAAGCCTGAAGCGCCTACCCTGTAGCAATACACGCTGAACCCTAAAGGCTTGGTAGTGACAACTGAGGTCACAATCATCAAGGCTACGATGTTTCTCATTGTGGCTAGTCCTGTACTGACTACCATCTCTATGGGTTGGACCGGTACTCAAAGCTATTAACAGAAACCATGCCAGAGCACGACCGGGCTGTTGGGAAGGAGTATATGCATGTGACCTTTAATGGTGAGATATTGGGGCACCAGAAGCCAAGAAGGCAAAAATGCATGCCCCTGAACAGGGCAGACCACTACTTGGGCCCTGAGTTACAACGCACATAGACATAGATATTATAACTATGTATGAAATGATAGATATCTGTACAGAGCGTCGTTCGATCCCAAGGCATCCCTTCAGAACCTCTTCACGGTGTCAACACCCCATTATAAGCACGCCTCACGCAGGAAGCCCTTCACGCAGTCCACGTGGGCATGGAGGCGGCGCTCGCACCAAGACATGAGGGTTTCGGCCTTAGGCAGGTCGAGCTTGGGGATGGGACGACCAGACTGGGGATTGGCCACGGGTGCATGCAGAGCAGATCGGCTTAGGGATCCCAGACTACCGGGATTGGGAGCGATTGAGATTGAACCCTATAAGCCTAAATACCCGAGATGTAGGTAGACGTAGCGGCATGAATCCCTGAAACAGCAAGCCTTGAAGCCCCGCATGCAGTTGAGACTATACTTACTACATTACCTAAGTATACCAAACTAAATGCCGTGAGTTCCCTGGCTTTGGCTCGGCAACGTGCCGCAGTTTCTTCAGTGCAAAAACATGCCTAAATTCTATGGTCCTGACGGTGTGCTGATGAACCATGTTTGGGCGAGCAAAAAATGGCAGCCCGAAGCATCAGATCATTTCACTCCTCAGCCCCCACACCACTGACAGAACTCCAGCCCTAGTTTTTCTTTGCAAGGGTCTCAGCGTATCTGAAATGTGTTGGCGCCTGGTTGCCGCTTGGCTGCAAAATGCCGCGGCACAGAACATCCGGGATCAGGGATGAGGATTTAGGGTTTGGGGCCTTGAATTCAAATTACCGGCTTGTGGTGAATGGCTCGCATGCACAGGCTTGATTCTGATGATGCATAGACTTTGTGGCGATCATCTAGTCTTAGGGCTTTGTTAGCATATCATGATGCCTACATGGAATTGAAAACATACCCAGTCGCTGTGTTCATTTCGTCGTTAGAATCCTGATTTATAAGCCCTCTACTGTTAAACCGCACAACTGCAGATGCTCATCCTGAAGTCCTGAAGTCCAGAGTACCGGATGCTAAGATCAATGCCCTACCATCTGAACAACCCTTGTACTCAAACCTAAGGTCTCTTGAAATCTCCAATTCCGGCTGCTCTCACTCCAGGTATCTGCTACAGTGCCTGCCGGCTCTTTGCGTTCCTTTTCTCTGCGCTCCTGGCTTTTGAGGAGGGCCTTATGGGTGAAGAGTTTAAGGCTTGGGGATTCAGCCTCTTAGAGGGCTTCGGCAAAAGCTACCTTTACTTTCTGTTCCCTTTTGAAGGACCTAAACGTCTTGGTTTATCTGGAATAGTGAATAGTAGTGATTACACGAACCCCGAGAAAGCGGAAAAATGATGTCTTGGGGCTCCTGCACTGAATTAGTGTACATAAAGTTCACATGTTTGAAGGCAAAGCGGTATTGCTTTCGGCTTCTATGTTCAGCATCGCTGTCGAAACAGCGATGATCCCTACATCAGCCAATTAAGATTCGAGCTCTCAGGGTGTCCCATCAGTTTACATGGAAAAGAGCATCACCGATGGCTACTCTGATGGTGTTGCTGTTCAGGGTGGCCTGTCGCTTTACATTACAGAGAATTGAGCTTTAGTGACACATCGCTACACGAGCTCCTATATGGAAGTGTCGACCAAGGCTGATGTGATTTCTATGGTCACGAGATGTCACGAGATACCCCTAAGTATTTTCCCCAAGCTATCTATCGACCTACCTATCCAGACATAGATAGCCCACGCAAAACCCCTGAATACTACCTCCAAACCTGAAACCTAAGCAGCGGAGATTTAAACCTGGCCAAAAACTAAGTCCTACTACGTCCAAAACCCTACGCGAGCACACGCCCCCCTAAACCCCATACTCTAAACTTTGGATCTGAGTCCTTCCGATGCTCCCGGTTCTCGTGGTCGTGCCTTGCATCGTCGCGCGTCTTGCGCTCCTGGACGTCTGTGGCATACCTATGTCCATAGAAGCCCAATTCAATTATCTGACAGCCCCTCAGTCTCTACGTAAATCTAATAGAGCTGGCTAGGTACGGACATTCCTGAATCTCTACTGATGTCTTTGGGATGCCTGAAAGGAGCAGGGAATCAGACCATTCGTCTATCAGTGCACCCGTGCGTACTGTCCCCCGAACTCCGTTCGTCCCACATAGGAGAACAAACACCTGACTGCTGAGGTGCTTGATCATGACATGTTTTTCGCGTATTTGGTCAGCCCCTGCAGCGCAGGAACGTGAAAGCTGGGTTCCTACGCGTCTCCAGCATTTCATGCCGGCCATCTAGCCAGTATCTTGAACCACCCCAGAAACAATTGAAGGGTTCAGGATTTGGGTCAACACTGCCCAATGTACCATATTGGGGGCCCGGGGTCCTGAACGAGTGCTTCTTGAAACCTTCTAGTACTACGTCTCTGGAAGCTAGAGCTCTGTCCTTGTGCTCCTTTCGGCTGCTTTCCTTGGCTTCACGCTTGTTGGCGCGCTCCTGAGATGTAATACTTCACACACAGAGGGGAACAAAGGATTCGGGATCATAGTGGGAATGCAACAGGCATTATCCCTAAACACTACATAACAGGGATCTATCTGCATGCTTTATGTAATTAATCCTTACAAGCCCTTAAATGCTCTAAGACCTCAAATGATAAGCCCAAACTTCAGCACTGACCCACGTTTAGGTGTGTGTCAGGGTTGAGGCTTGGGTTCTCGGAGTGTGGTCTTGGGCGCACGAAGTATTCGAGTGAGACTGTAGGCTCGTTTCCAACGGCACGACGGCACAGCGTCACACATCTGGTGAAACACCCAGCCCTGTGGCCTTCAAAAAAAAATGGCACTCTGGTGGCTCCGCAGCCCGTACTAATGAAGCCATTTGGGGGACTATGTTCGACAATCTCCACCAAGGAAAAGTGCCAGCAAGGAAGTCCGGGATTCTAGATACTTGCGGCTTCAAACGGCAGTAGCAGGGCTTCAAGAACCCTAACTCAAGACCTATATACCCACGACTATCATTTGAGGTTGTCCCCAAGTAGGCGGCGCTGTGCCTAACTGTATTCGGTTTTGGGTTTGGGGCTGCGGGTTCCTTGCTCCCTGGCAGTCAGTCTGGAATGAAGCAGAGTGCCATTTGGTCAGTTCACCGGAGTTAATTGCATGGCGTGTTGGCTCATTTGAGAAGTCGTTTGGGACCTTTGAGGCTTGAACATTGACCCTATATGCCCTAAACGGTGAACCAGTCAACGTCAATCCTCTATCACTTCAATGCGCAAAAGCTTCAGACCGCAACCCCCAAGACAAAGCTGAAGACTTCGCTGAAAACACCAAATCCTTTCACTCCGAAATACTCTGTACCCCGGTATCCTAAGCCTCCTGTGTGCTAAGGTCTAAGGCACCAGATCTACTTACTTGAAACGCCCTCATCCACCGACGAGCTCATGAATCGCGCGCCTCAACGGGCTTACTGTGGTCTCCTGACCGCGTTTTTCAGACGTTTGATTAAGACAGGGTAACACAAGGTGACCAGAAAAGATCACAGGTATGCGAATCAAATTCATACCTCATCGCTTGCTGCGATGCATGCCCCGTGGAAATCGCTATCACATGGGGAGGCCCTTAACCCTCATCAATTATGAAAGTTGTCGTGGATTAATGTCAAGAATTTCAGGTCTGCGGACAAATTACTTGCATCAGCTTGATATGAAGCTGCACAGTGTTCTGATTTTTGTTCGGGTTTTAAGGCTAGAGGAGACGGGAATGATAGAGGGAGTCTGCCAACTGTGGAGAAGGCCAACCAGGGTCTCCATGCGTTGTGTGGGCCTGGGGTTTAGGGTTCTCGGTTTCAGGCCGGGTTCTGCACTTTTGTAGGAATGTACGTATCATCGGCTTCTCAACTCATGCCACAAACACTAACCCTGTGCAGGAGTCTCCAGTCAAAAGGGTGATTATGAGATGACTACAGGACCTTACAAATTGTAGCAATGGCAGTAGCTCATTCTGAGCCCTTGGCAACGCCAGGTCTCCGAGTGTAGGCGCGCCACGCTAACTCTTGAACCCTGCATTGGATGCCCACTATATGTTCCGGCTTCACCGAAGAATTATCAAACTGTCAGACTTCAACCCTCGGTTCTGAGTTTGTGCAGTCCAATCCCTCTAATCCCTTCCCATACGTATGTACTCTGATATGCTTGGTAGTTGGGTAAGCAATCCTCAAGCCCCTTCCCCCCCCTTGCCTTGTGCCGCAGTTGCTCTCTGGGGGGGTACAGATAGGTCGTGTTGATTGTTCGCAGCTACGAAATGGCTTGCAATAGAAAATCGTTCTTCGAAGCCTTACAACCTCATAGGCCTATGCATTCTCATTTCTCATTATGACATCGGGCCCCTGTTTTGAGAAACCCACATAAGCAAATAGGATCAAATAGGTATACGAACGCCCCGCAGCAAATTTACCTCAAGGTAGAAAAGAGGCCCGAGTCCTCGCGAAGAAGGCGGCTCATCCGCTACATCCTCCCACAGCTCAGTCAAAAACCTTCAACCCAAAAATGCATGCGAACACTATGGTGAAACATCGGAATGATATTGGACAGTTTTTTTTTTCTGTGTTTACTTGGGGTTCCAGTTCCCATGAAATTAGAGAATACATCCCAAAGTAACAAACGGATACATATGTCTAAGACAGTGCTTCTGAGGTAGTACAGAAAGTATGACTAATTAGGAATTTGAGCTTCTGGAACTTGAGGCAGCGCGCGCGGGACTGTTTCATCAACCCTAGCGATCTGAATACCTGATCCAATTGATTTGGACTCTGAGTTGAAAGTCTATGTCTAGGGCTGTGTGTTTAGGGTTTGGGGGGTCTGCTTCCCTCAAAGCATCCCAAAACTGGAAGAGCTGCTACCTGCTACCCGCAGTGATCCTGAAGAGCCGAAACCTTCTGCTATAAATCTTTGCACCTTAAGCGGAGGCTTAACATTTCGTTTCGGGCATATGTGCAGAGTGTAATATTAGTGCTGAAACGAAACAATGTTTTGCAAGCCTCCCTTCCAAGAATGAGCGTCTAAACGACAAGAAAAGTCAGTTCAACAAACACACCAAGTGGATAGCAGTAAGCTTGTTCGGTCTGGTAGCAAGGCAACACAGATGGAAGCCCTGCAGAACACACCAAGTAACATATAAACCCCAAGCCTAAAACCCAGACCTGGGGAGGTCAGGAGCTTGTCAAAGCCTCAGCTCAACATGTCTGAAAGCACTGTTCCTCACTGACTGAACCTCAGATCCAGGCCCAAAGCTTTGGACCCAGTTTGGCTACTGTGAGCACTGCCAAACCCTTAGCAATACACTCTCAACCTGAATCTGTAAGGTCCCAACCCATAGTTCTAAAGGCCGCTACAGGAAAAATCCCCATCCCCAAACCACCCGGCTGCTCCTTCTTCTTCTCCTTCTTCTTGGAGGAAGCAGGCTTCTCTGCTGCTTCCTGGCATCAAGGAGGAAACAGGATGCATGCTTAAGCATGCTACCAAGGTGTTTCATGCTGAAGGTCGAGTCTTCATCATTCTCTGAAAAATAGATACAAACATACACTCTTTGCTACCTTGCGAGGAGGAATAAGCCCTACTGTAGTAGGTTGAGCGTTTACGGCCCTCTTTCGACGCTCCATCCAGACCCGAAACAGAATTCATCCGTGTAGTTCAAGCAACGCACCCAAAACCCTGAACCCTAAACCTTGCATTGCTGATCTGGAAGGTGTTGCCAAAGCTGACCCTAAAACAATGTCAGTCAATCTCTCAACGCAGGTTGACACTCCCACACCCGGGTGACATGGCAATTGCCCACAGCGGCAAACCTGCGAGCTCTGGAACAAACGGAAACCTACCACTTTTACAAACACCCCAGACATCCTCACCCTCCGAACAGTAAACCCTCCAAGCCTCAAACAAGCAAAACCCCCTTGACTCCAAATGCTGGAGCCACACAATCCTGGACATGTTCAAGACATTGGGTGCCCACCCTCCCCCGAACGAAAACTTGCTTGGTAAAGCCCCAAAGCCATGCGTCCCAAACTGCTGGGTGCCTCCGGAGGCTCGACTTTGGCAATCTGGCTGTTGCTTCCGTGGATCAGGATTTGACTTGACTTCAGGAATGTTCAGACTTGATGCGGGGCTATCTGACAACGCAAGTACAAGGGTAAAGCTTGAGCGACTGCAGGACCTCCGGTACAAGGTTCCCATTCCTGACTGGGTAGCCGAACATTTAAAAAAAAAAAAAAAAACATCAGAATCAGCCCTCGGCCCTGACCGTCAGCCTGGCTAACGTCATGATCTTCGGCATAGACGCTAGTCGTGTCGAATATGGTGCACGTCATCATCGCTGACATTTCCGCACAATCGCATCCATAGCATGAATAAAGTGGGTGACAATAGCGTTTTGTTGCCGGGCCGGGAAAGTCCCGGACAATCAAATTTGCTTTCTAACAAGTTTGGAGCCCGACAAGGTCTACTTAAGGTCCATCGGCAATCATAAAGGGGTGGCCATAATACATTTTTCCAGCCCGCAACGTCCGGATTTTACTAGATTAATTTCCTTTTACTTGTACTACTGGTACTACGAGCTGCACTACCTATAGTCCTACCGCCACCCCCGTCATTCATTATTCCGACCCCCCGCCCCTCATAAGCCCGGATGGCAAAACAAGTTCTGGGCGGGGGGAGTTATTATTGTCATGGTAACATTACTTTGCTTAGACATGCTTCTGGACGGAACTATGTTGTTGCGCCAGCAAGCTGCCAGCTGAACCACGGCTTGGGCCTTGCATGGGGCAACACCCAAACCCTGCGCTTTCACATTGCCAATGCCGTATCACCCTGAACCCGAACCTCAGATGCAGCCCTTTCATCCCCAAATCTCATAAGCTACAAAGACCGAAGGACGAGACATTGGAGTTCTGAAAGTGTTTCTACAGACCTCGCGAATCATGATGCCTGTGACATCTTGTGGCTCTGCACTCCAAGTTCGCGCCCCCAGTCTCATCCTCATACACCCTGCGTGCCCCGAACTACCCGAAACCTTAAATACAAGTTTTCAGAGCTGTCTCTAGAATTTCCCGTAATTCCAAATGCAACGCTGCTCAAGAAAGCTTGAAGTCTGAGCAAAGTGCCTGCACTGGTGCGGGCACCTCCGTCCAACAAGGCATCCAAAAATCAGGGCTTTCTAAGCTATCAATGACCCCCCCACTTATGGACCACAGGCCAGGTTTGGCTGCGGCCATTTTCAATCTTTGGGATCTTCGGCTTTGGGCGTCCTGAATCTTTAGCTCCACCAGACGCAGCATTGGAATAAACATGACGCATGCTGAGTCATCAAAGAACCACGCCACTCGAACTGGGCAAAAGGTTAAACACACCAAGCAGGAGCGCGTGGCTTAAACGACTTCATGTTTCGGGAGGTAATGCATGGACGGTGAGGCCGAAACCAGACGCTACTTCGATGTACTGTTGGTTGGAGAACACCCTAGCCCTAAGGGTCCATGTACCCAATAATTGGCATTGGGGTTTTAGTGCTTAGACTCTTAGGGTAAGCCTGCCTTGAACTCTCATAAACCCTTAAACCCCTACCCCTGATCCCAAACCCTAAACCCCCGAGAAGCAAGCACCAGCCTCTGGAGGTATTGGCACCGCTGTCGCAACTGGCACTTCTCCTCCTCGAAAGGCCCATGTGCTCCAAGAGTACAACCACAAATAAATCGGTACTTGGGACTTTGGCGCTAGGAATTGAAAGGCAATGCTTGATTTTGTGGGTTTCAGGCTCAGGTTGTAGCGCTTGGGGATGCGCGTCTGTGGTCTTTTGCCGCTCTTCTAGGTTGCATTTACAATTCTGCATGGGTTGTTCAAAGTGCTGCGGGTTCCAGCTTTTCGTGGGCTACACGGCAACAAGAGTACACACTGTAGCCATCGCTTCACCGCGATCTAGGATCTTGGTAACGTAGGCAGAGTAAGCCAAGCATTGTTTAAGTTTGGGGCGTTCAGGTCTTTGTGTTGAATTGGAGCTTGGGGTCCAAGGCCAGTCCCACCTTAGCCGTGCGGACCAAAGAATACTCAGCCGACAAGAATGCCGTGGGCTGAAACAAGACTTGAGGGCGCCTGGGATAGATGTCGCAAAAGGCACGAGACTCATCGCCTAATGTTTCGGACAGCGTATCACCTATGCAACATATTTAAACTACAAACCTCTAAACCCGGAAACCTCCAAACGTGCATTCAGGTTTGTTTCGCAGGAGTCATTCTGGATGTTTGATGGAAAGAGTGCTGCCTTGCAGAGAAAGACGCTTTCGGCACAAGTTCGCGGGGACCCAGAAACCTTTTCGACCCGGAACGCATAACCCCGGGAACCCGGGAACCTACCCCGATTGACCTCCTGAAGAAGGGTGGCTGCAGCATATGCTCTTCCATGATGTTGCTGCGGAGGAAGATTAGGATCTTTGACGGAATTGGTTCCCACTGGTCTTCTTGAAGGAATTCCAGATGGCAGGCAAATTTTGGGCCCAGTATTTGTGGCAACTTCTTGAATCCTGTAGCCCTCGACCCTTGAACAATCCTAGACCCCGAACTCAGTTCAAGAAATCTATCTTACATCGAAGGGCCAAACAACTGGAATCCTGCAGGAGGGGAGGCTGCTGCGGGCTCCTCTTTCCTGGCGGCTCCGGACTTAGGCAAACACTTTGCGCATGGCCTAAACCCTGAATCCTAATCCCTAAAGGTCCAGCACTTAGGTGTATGCAGAGCTCAGTGTTGCCGTGCGAGGGAGTTAGGGGGCAGTATCTGGAGTTTGGAAGTCTAACGCTTGGATTTGCTTTAGGGCGAGGAATCTGGCGCAAACCCTGCAAAGCGCAAAGGCGTGTGAAGCCGACTCCATAGCATCCCGAACAGCCTTCAGCAATGGGGCCGCTAAGGCCCATAAACACAATAATCTGAAGCCAAGAAGGAGTCCCCGGAAGAAAGATCTTGGGAACTCAATGGGGGGACCCTCCGTATTGCAACCCCTGATTGATTACCACGAAGTAACATAGAAGTTCGCCACCTAAGCTATCCGGGTAATTTGATATCCTTACAGGAGTTGAAATACTGGGGGGCCCATGCGCTCACTTGAAAAGAGGCTCCGTGTGTCACGTGCAAAGGTGAAAACACTGTCGGCGGGCAAGCTGATGCTCGGTCTCGAGGGAAGCGTTTCTCGCGAACAGATCCTCTAACAAGTGCATTTCAAGTCAGCTTCTTTTAGAATCGGGCTGGTCTGAAATTAGGTATTTTACTTTTATTTACAAGCAGAACCTTGTTGTGCCATTCTACTCTATGCCGCTCAGAAGAAGTGTGGTTCTAGAGATTCGAGCTGGCCCGGACAGCTACGTCATCTGGCCTCCATGTTCAGAACATCAGCCGTCAAAGGATAATGACGGCCGCACATGCGTGGATCTCAGAAGGATTCAACACCTGGAATGGCGTGCAAGAATAGTCCGCGACCAGTTGGCATCGCAGCCGGCATGGCCTGTAGTATGCAATAGCACTCTCTGGAGTCTGAACAAGAAGCCCCGAGCCCTGAATCTTCTGAATCCTGAAGCCCTCATCCTAAACCCAAAGACGACCACGAATCCCAAAACCATACTCTCACGCCCCACCACTTGAACATTCATTGCCAGCTCATCCTTTTTTCAAAGCCAACATCCCACCCCATGGGTCCTTATCTTGCAGCCTCAAGCCGCAAACCCCCAACCCAAACCTAAAGATCAAGCTGCAGCCAAAGAAACGCATGTTATCCCGACACAATTACTTTTTCAACTTTGACAGCCAATGCGCGCTCCACAACTGTAGGGTTTACGGGCTTGTGGTTTGTGCATCAAGCACCCATGTACGTAAGCATGAGACCCTAAATGCCCCAGCAAAAATCCCTGCGTTTCCCTATAGAACAGAACAGGCCTCAACCTGTGCAAGGTCGGGGCTTAGGAAAAATCATGGGAGGTTTCTTCAGGGCCAATGTACCACATGAACTGCAAGGCCTCAACCCTGGTCCAACAAAATCACGCCCCACCTGCAACCTTAACCCCCAAACCTGGCAATAAGCCCCGATGAGACCTGATCCTGGCATCTCTGAAAACCCTTGAACCCCCCCGAAGCCTCCGCTTCCGAGGGGTCGCCCTAGTGGGGAGGGCATTTGAAGGTTGGAGGTTAAGCGTTGGCTGGGGTTTGGAGCTTAAGGTGCTTCAGCTTTGTGTTTTAACTTTGGCGTGGGCCTCACAAGGCCGTTTTGTTCTGTGCCAGGCTTGGGCTACTAGATCCGCGGCATGTTCCGTTAGAAGCCCTGGCTGGCAGCATAATCAGCCAAACAAACACTGACAGGATTTGGGGGATGTGGGAAATCCAGGAGACTTCCTGAGTTGCACTTGGGGCAATGCTTAAAACAATCGAGGGATGTCAGTATCTATAGGCATTACATGCAAGATACGCGATGCCGAAGCCTTTGCCTTGTAGAGGCATTTCGTACAATGATTTGTTGGGTGTGTGGCACTCTGTATCGCTTCGAACACTCGGGTGGTCCACAACGGTACTCATGTAATTACAATAAAGGCTTTAGGCTATCATCTACTCTTTTCTCACCCAATTTACATATTTCTCCAAATTCACCCACCCGCGCCCCCCTTCGCATTCCCCTTTGCATGAGGAACCGTCAGCCCTAAACGCTGAGCCCTAGGCGGGCCAACATTAAATTCTGAAGTTTGAGAAACATCAAGGAAGCCTCTTGCGCCCCTAGGAACTCTGAGAAACTCAGGGTGTTGAAGGTCCGAAATGACCAGGGTCTGACCTATGCTGAATGATTGCTTTTCTCCGGGTTTTGCTCATGGCGGGAGCTGAACATTCCTCCAAGCCCGTCGTCATGTCAAACCGCAATGCCAATGTCTTGCTGTTCGTCTTGCAAGGTTCAAGCTTTGAACATGCAAAGCCCCCGCAGTCCCAAGACCTACAGCCCAAACACCTCGCACAGCAGCCTGAAAAATCAGAACATGACTTTGGGATGGTAGCAGCATAGGGGGAACAGATTCCCAATCAGTCAGGCTAGTGCAGTAGCCTTACTTGACAACAGCATAACCCTTGCATGTACTCCCTCAGCCCGTTTTCAACAACATCAAACAGCCAAGCCCTCAAATAATCAGATTGCAACCCCTAGAAACATAAATCTAGCCCTCATTAAAAGGCCGTAGCAAAATAATCTATGAGTGTATTATGACGAGAGTACTTGTGGGCTTGGATTGTTGCAGAATGCGATGGTACAAACTTGGATTTTCCGCGATACGCTGCCTTCGGTCCTCTTCCTGCTGGTCAGGCGCATGATTCCTGGAGCCTCAGCAACAGTTCGTGTAACAACAGGGTGGGACTTTAGCCTCAAAAAAATGGAGTTCCTACTTAACCCTTACGACTTAGATCATATGTGGACAGGCACGGTCTCAATGACGAAAACCAATCCTCCTTAACATCCGGCACTAGCAATTTTCTTGAGATATAAACGCTGAGGATAGGCTACTTTTCAGATAGCCATGTCATCAGGCGAGCGGTACCGGAACCAATGCTCAGTAAGATTCATACAGCTTTGGAGTCCGAAGGGGAACCGCCAGCTGGGGCTCTTGGGGTCTTACTTTCTTAAGTTTCTGCTTTTGAAGGAAAGCTGAGGCTTCGAGCTTGGGCTTGCAGTGCTCAGCGAGAAGCAAACTTCCAAAGCTAGTATGCCTAACGAACCTGCTAACCCAACGGCCGCATCCTCAAAGAACCCTTAGAATGAGATTCTGAACCAAAATCGATACAACACAGCCATATCAAGCAGAAAGGCAAATGCAGTGAAGGGTCCAGCGAAAACCCGATTCCAAACCTCAAGCAGCCTGACAGCCCGCACCTCGAACCCTAAGTAAACTACATCCTCAAGCCTAGAGGCTTATGTTAGACCCGGTAATGTGCTAAACGCAAAACCAACCTGTATCCCCAAGTCCTTCATCCCAAATCCCTGAACTCCGAACTCAAAACTGTTGAAACCCATCCTTGCGCCCCAAATTCTCAATTCGTTTTCCTCATGCTGCCCAGGAGCTGGGTGGCTCTGCTGGAGCCTCCCCCTTGCGTGACGTGTGAGGGTTTGCCACAAGTTCAGGTTTTTTTCTTGGGGTTCCGGGTTCAGCTTTGGGTGTTTGGGAAGAGTCCCTCAGGCTTACTGTTAAGGGTTCATGAAGGTTTATGGTTCCGGATGTGAGGGCTTTGCGTTCAGGTTTCCCACTAGATCCGCGGCGTGTGGCGAGCTTATCTGAGGTTTGGTTTACAGAATAGGGTTTGCAACTGGGGGTTCGGGTTGGGAGTGGACCGGGGGGGTAGGGTTCAGGGCCTGAGGGATTGGGATTTTACAAGCTAGCCTCACACAGCTCATAATTAATTCCCACTGTGAAGCCCTCTGGGCGTGCATGCCTACAATGTAATATGCCCTGAATATCTAGCCCCGAAGACTCGTGCAAGGTTCCACACACGTACAAAGCCTTTCCTCCTGAGCCGGCTGACCCTCTGATTGAGAGAAGTGTGACCGACAAGAATTTTATCACAACGCCGAGAACAAAAACATTAATTGAAGTGTTACTGTATGCAGCGAAGCCCCCAAGCCCAAGTGCTAAGCCCTGCATACCCTATGCTCCGGCGCCTCATCCCTGCGTTTTCGTTTCTTCTCCGTCTTGGTCCGCTCTGTCTTCTCCGTCTTGGTGGCTTCCTGGCCAGGGAGTTTTAATCTCGTTCGAGCTTTGTGAGAAATGTGCAGTCCTCCCACCCCAAGCCCCCACCACTCCCCTCACAGCCTCGCGCTTGCCGCGCCGCGCCGCCAAGGCGGCGGCAGCCGCGGCAGCGCGGGCCGAAGCCTCGTCCTGAAGGCTTCTTTGAAGAGGTTTTTTTGGAGTCTGGTCTCGAGGTGCAGGGCTGAAGGTTGCGGATCTCGGTTTCATCCGTGGCCGTTCGCGGCGTGGATTAGGGATGTGAAAAGATCTGTATCTGGGGTGTAGGGTGTGAGGTGTATAGGACTCAGGACTTTGGCCTTTGGATTTCGGGATGGGTATCAGGTCCAGCCTTCAGCCTGGGGGATTTGGGGCTAAGCGTGGTTTCGGAAGGCTTTGCTGCTTCAAAACCCATCTTTCCGTTTTTGGTTGCCGGAAGTTCAGGATTTGAGCTTCATGGCCGGCGGGTGAAGATTTTCAAGCTTTGGAGTTCATGCTGCAGGGTCAGGGTTCAGAGTTTGGGTATAAAGAAATCCACGAATTGCTCCATCAGGCATCGGCATTATTCTGCTGAAGCCTAGCGCAATCTCGGAAAGCGGCAAAATCTTTAGAGGCATTGTACAGGGAGTATGCAATCGCGTTTTTCCTGAGGATTTCTCGCGTGGTTTTGGGCACACGGTTCAGAGGTAAGGGATTGGGCCCAACTTCGTGGTGTTTGTCTACGAAAATTCCTTTTGGAAGTAGGGTTGCCCTTTGCGCTGCCTGCACACCGGTTGAGCGAGCAAAGCTTTGGTTTCGGCTCTTTCGGCTGCTTGGCTTCATCGGGCTTGTCCTGCTCTGCATTGCACTCTGTGCCACATGCCTCCTTTGAGCATCGTGCTTTTTGTACGGCTTCAAGATAGACCCAAAGCATTTGAATTCCCTGTTAACCTCTCCTACCCGTAGTTGAACCCTGCACTTCACATTCCATAGAGCGCCGGTGAACCCGTTAAGCAGAAGTCTATGTCCGTCCTGGAAAACCCATGCATCCCCAAAGGCAAACACCTACAGCCTAAACACCAACCTACACTGCCCCAAAACCGATGAACTCTAAAAACCTAACCCTCAATCCCATCCATCTGGCGGTAGGGCAAGGCGTCCTCTGCAGTGGCATCTGGCCTGCCAGCAGTCCATTGCCAAGAAACCCAATACGTGTGTATGTGGGGTCTTTGATGTTGAAGAAGCCCAGAGGGGGTGAGTGCAAAGGGCTCAGGCCTATAGCTATTCTCAGAGCCAAGGTAACTGTTACAGAACCTGACAAAAATACACCAAGGAACACAAGGACCCTTTTCACAACGGTAAGTACAAGCCGAATTTACACAAAGGAGACTGTGAATGACGCGGTGAGGTACGCTTGCATGTTAATTTAAGTGTCATGCAGACGCCGACCGCATATCAAATTACGCCCAGAACTCCATGGTGCTGAGCAAAAACCCTACAGCAACCTAAAACCACACCGTGAGTAATGCGAACATGACTTATGGCTTCGAGTTTGGGAATTCTGTGCTTAGGGGGTCAGGTAAGGATTCGGGGTCAGGGAAAAGGCAGCAAGGTCGGTGTACCTAGACCTAGGACCTAAGCTTTGCATCCTGGACAGTACACCTGTACTCCTCAACAGTTGTCGGGCTAGCAAGGGAAGATCTTGGCCAGGGTTTAGACTGCTAAGGTTCATATTATAGGTAGGGTAGCGCAGAACTCCTCCCATCATGTGGAGGACGCTTTGAACGGTGGAGTTGATCCTGTGGCATCTGTTGCTTGTCCTTGGTGCCCAAAGATCTAGCTTGGAATGCCATGAGATCCATGGTATACACAGTGCACCTCTTTGTGACGACTTATAGGTTCTAAAGCTCAAAAGCTAAAATGCGTACGAAGACTGCAGCAAGTTGAACGCTTGAGATGCACGATGTTGAATGCTCTGCCCCGCATTTTCGAGGCACCATCACGAGTCCTGAGCCCAAGCTTTATATTTAACCGTAAATGCGAATGAAGAAACCTCTTCTCATCATCATCTGGAATCTAGCAGCTGCGCACACAACAAATCTCAACTTAAATCTAAGCTTTCAAGTCAGGCTTCTTGTGCAGATTTAGGGTATTGAGTATGGAGTTTAGGATTCCGGGCTGCTTTGGTCTAAACTGGCCGTTGCTCAGGTACATAATCCGACTGCAAAGACCTTGTGACGCTCCCGTAGCTGAACTCTAGACCGCATCATCGTACCCTTCAGGACTAAAACCACTCCCTACCAACAAAAAAACTCTACAACCTAAACCATCCTAAACCCTGAACCGTCTAGACCCATTGCAACCGCTATTCCGCAGAATTCCAGTGTTGCTCGCCTCACGGCCTGCTGCTGCCCTGCTTTGACCTGAGAAGAGCTTGTGTAGCAGCCGGGTTGGAACTTCGCAAGCGAGAAGGTTTTAGTTCAAGAGCTAGCTTGTGGAGTTTCCAGGTTTAAAGATTAGGGAGGTTGGCCGTGTGGTCCGCCCCACCGAGATCTTCGGCTTGGAGTTTACGCCAAAATCTCCTTTCAGTCTTCTTAACATGCTCTCCGGAACTGGTATGTGTTGACTCTGCATCAGGGCTTAGGGAGCATACCTTAAGACTTGCGCTCAGTCAGACGCTTTAGAGAAACAACAACAAATCTGATTTGAGGTCTCAGGGATGTGGGCCGATCGCTGCTAGGGAGTTGGGAAGGTCATAACCCCGAGAGTGACCCAAATTAATTCGGAGGCACATTGCGTATCTAAGGTTGAAGCGGTTAGGAAGCTCAGTCTTACATCAAAGTGCGTTGTAGGTTCCGGCCCGTCAGAGCTCATGAGTCGCGCATGCGTAACGCTTTCAAGAAGGGTGAAGTTAATCTTATCACAAAGATATCAAGGGAGCTTGACTTCTCCATGACCCTACAACACTTTTCCCAATGTAGACCAGACGCCCTGCACGCACTAACAACTCCCGACGGCGCAGACAATTCCCGAGGTTCGCCTGGGCTGTCCTTGAAGTTGGGCCATGCTGTGGTTGCCGGATGACGACGCAAGTAAAAATGCCATGCACACCACAGCAAGGTCTAGAGTCTAGAGCCTACACCGCACTCATTAACAACAAATCCAAAGCCCTGAACCTAGGCTCACAGCCACTTAATTGCTACGCTCTTCATAGAGTCGTCTCCAACAATTACACAGGCCACTTCCCCCTTAAGAAAACGGACTCACACCGTTGCAATAGCATCATAGCCATTGACAACATGCATTCGGGAGCCTCAGCTCGCCGTCTTTCGATGTGGCGGCGATGCTGCCTTGAGCTAGGCTGAATTGTAGGACATGACTTAATCCCGGCTCCTGTATGTAATTCAATGGGTCACCCCCCGCCCCCCTCACAATAATCACAAGAAATTAAAATCACATACGTTACAGGCGACACACTATTTTTTAGGGCTGCCGGATTTTAGGCTAAGCCGCAACCCATCAAATCTGAGCTTCTGATCAAGCAAGCCTTACATTTTTCATGGGCCGGAGTTCTTCTTTACCTCTCCAGGCTTTGAACACAAAAAGACCTCTTTCTCTCTCTCTCTCTCTCTTTCAACTGCTCTTGGACACTAGTTCTGCCCAGAATTCTAGTGGTGCTATTGATAGAATCTCGAATGAGAGCTTAAGCCTAAGGGCTTTAGAGTTCGAGAATGGGCTTCAGAGTCTGCCCAGAACAAGATGAGAAATGAAGGTCTGGACTAGTCATACCCATGACAATACTGCTACCAGTCCGAGTCAATCACTCTCTTGGTAGCATGCGGCAGGGCATTGTCAAAACAATATAGATACGCCTGCTTGGCTTTCCGTAAGATGTAGACTGGGAACCTGTGGGTGTCCAGAGCCCCGACCGACGAGAAACTCCCTAAAGAAGAACACAAAGGCAACTAGGTGGTTCCCAGGGCCACAGTGCAATATGATCTATGTTTGTACATGTGATGTTCTTGTTATCCAGTTCGGTCCTTATTATGCTAAGATACTGGAGATCACAAGGCATTCTACACTTAGGTCATACAGGATATCTAGTATCAACAGCAGTATATTTTCTCTTGGATTACGAGTTTCCAATCCAGGACCAGCTCTCCCGAAAGTGCATCCTGTGGCAATTCCCACGTTCATCAAGCACATATGGCCGACACCGGATGGTTTAGGGAAGCTTAGCTAGAAGGGTTGGCTAACATATCTGGTAGGGTAGCTGCTTCAAGTGACAAATATTCTTGCAGCGTTCTTTACACAGAGCAATTTCCTTCTGGTAGGATTCTTTAGAGTACGGGTATACTCTGCGGGAACCTGACGAGCTGGGGATGCACAGGGACCATGACGGGACGGCATATTCGTGCCTTTTGAAGTGATATGAAGTGGTTCTTCTGAAAAGGCTGAAGCTCAAACTCTAGACCGCAAACCCTGTGCCCTGCACTGAACTCTATCTGGACAAGGAGAAGGCCCTCTTCGGGAGCATATGGAATTGTCTTTGCGACTGTGTGGGCTTTGATGAAACTTACCTAATTAAGCTCATGTAGATGGTCTGCACCCGCGAGGATTCCTCTTCAAGCCGCAAATCCCTGGCCCATGCACTCGAAACTCCCGAAGACGCTTGTAAACCCGTAACCCCCAAGTCCAACACTGCTACACGCCTAAAGCCCCTAACCATCCCGAACCCTAATGACTTCTGCTTCCAAGGCGCTCATCGCGTTGCTCCTCCTGCCAGAGTCAAGCGGCTGAATAGTGAGATGAATTTTGCACTTAATTCTTCAACGTTTAATCGGGCTCGTCTTCAAGATTTGGGTTAAGGTTTCAAGGCGATAGCCCCTTAGAAGGGACACCCGGATACCTACCAACAACTCATGCAACATCTAACAACTCATGCAACATCTGGCACGTGGCCTCTACGAAGGCGCTGGCCTCCGGGGGCGCGCGCCTGGTCAACGCGTGAGTTTGGGGTTTC